ATATCAAATTCAGTAAGACAGGAAGTGCTGGAGGAAAATGCTGAAGAGAATGAAAGATGTGGATAGTCAAGTAAGAAATATAAGATAACAAATCATCAATTAGAAATATACCCCAGCTGCTTCTAAGCATAATAAATTGTCAAAGCTTTCCATCAAGTGGAGAAAGACAGTCACAGTGAGATTTTGGAGAAAACACATACTGAAAAATTCAGCTGAACAATTAGTAGCAGCATTTCCTGTAAATTAGAAATCTTGTCCAGAACCATTTCTGCCTTGAAACATAAGTAGCACATATTACAAAAAACTGTTGTTACATTTTGATTTTCATCTGCAAACAAATTTAAGGTTAAAATGTAACATATCGTTAAAGGTGATTGCTTGTTCAAACTTATCATTAGGCATATGGTTTCCTAACTTTTGATTATATGTTTGGAAGACTTCTATGTGATTGATCAGATGGTAACTGAGTGTGAAATGTAACTCTTTGATGAATGCTTTTCTTCTGGAATTTGTAGATAGTGAAGGATTCTTAAATTGATTTCACTTTTGTGAAGTAAGCAAATAACCTGACTTGAAACCTCAGTAAGGCTATCCAACTAAATTCCTTATAAATGTATTGAAGATATGTCACAGCAAGGCAGTGTCTGTCTCTTCCCTCAGGTTGCTGATAATCTCATGGCAGTTTAGTTATTTATACTTGTTAACAAGCCCGGAGCCAAGTTATAAATGAGTGCTCACAGAATTATAAGCAGGCTTGGGTAGTTTGGGGACATAAGTAAGAACAATAGCTGCCAACAGACATCATAAATTCAAACTTCGATGATTTACTTGGAAGCTATTTGAATAAGGTTCCTGCCACTTCATTCTGCTAGATCTGGCCACATTATCTGCAGCTCCTCCTATCAAGAGGCAGAGTCCATTTGCCTGTCCCTTGGATTTGGAGAGGCCTCACAATTTGCTTAGTTCTGCAGAATTTGGCCTATATAACCTTGTGTGACTCCCAAATCTAGGCCTTAAGAAGTTTTACAGCTTCTGCCTGCCCACTTCTGGATGTTGCCCACAGACCAAAAACATAGCCTACTGCAGGATGAGAGGCCACACAGAGCCGACAGCAGACACATGAGTGAGGTCACCTTGGACTTTTTAGCTCAGCTGATTCTCCAGTTCAGGGATCAGCAAACAACCTGTAGGCCATAGCCTGCTTTTGTATGGCCCTTGAGCTATGAACAGCTTTCGGTTTTTAATAGTTTGTAAAAAATAAATAAAAAAGAATATGTGACAGAGACAATGTCTAAAATATTTACTATCTAATCCTGTTTTACAGAAAATTTGGCCAACTGCTGCTACAGCTGAATGTATCCATATGAGTGAGACCAGACAAAACCAGAGAGGAACTACACAACCAACCCTCAGAATTGTGAGAAATATTAAATTGACATTTTTGCAAGCAACTATATTTTGGGGGAGCTTGTGCTGCAGCAATAGATAACTCAATCACAAGCTGATAAATGCTACACAAAGAAAAAGGAGACTGCTTCAAAGGAAATAACCTCTTAAAGGTTTTGGAGCTTTTTGTCTCACTTCATTTAAAAGAATTTCTTACCCCCATCTGTTGTCCATGGCTCTGTTTTGCATTCCAGGGAGGTTTTGGCAGTTATGAGCATATATACCTGCTGGTTACTCAAAGGACATTCAAAACATTTTAAAAATGAATATTGAAATATACCTTTTCTAAAATTAAAAAAAAAGAATTTATAAAATATAATATTAATGTCCTAAAACATTCTTCCAAATTAGAGGTCGATTTTTTCAGTATATGAATCTATTTGCAGTGAAACCTGTCTGGTTTTGTTATTAGTGGACCTCCTTGGCTTAGTGAGGTGAACTGTCAGCCCAGGTGGGGTGAAGAATGGCTGTGATAAAGGCGTGCAGCAGGGCAGCAATCACTTTACCCCCTGCAGAAGGCACAGCTACTTGCCAGGGCTGGAACCAGGAAAATACTCTCAACCATAATTTAGATCTGATTACTTACGCAGTGCCAACTAAGTCCTTGACTTACACTGCTACTATCTAAACTTACTTTTGTTGTATAGCCATTTTGATCCCTATATTCAGCCCTATTATTTTCAGAGAACCTTCAAACTATCATAAGTGATTTTGTAGAAAAAGGCTTTGATAAGGAAGAAGCAGTCAGGCCAATGAGTTAGTAAACAGAAATGGTGGGCCACGTTTACAGTCTTGATGCAGATGTGTGGGTTACAATAAGGGGTGGTGCTCATGGCTGGGCTTGGTAGTGGTTAAATACACGATTCAGACACACTTGATTTTGAGGAAAGAACCAGTACAATCAATACTGCACATCTTGGTAAAAGGAGTTGGAGGAGATGAAGCTGGGAGTTTAGGTCAGGTATGCTGAGGTAAATATAGGGAATTCCTCCTGGGTTTTGTTAAATCTTTTAAAAATACATATCACAAGGCCCTGTAGAAAGCATCACTACTTTTACCAGAATTATCACCAGGAACTCTAAAGTAGTCCACACCCCACAGAGACCATAGCTTCACTGCTCTTTGAATGAAGCTGGTATTCAACTCAATTCACCACACATTATGAGGCATCTACCACTAGGTAATCTGAAGCTGTAGGTGCTAGAATGATCCAAATTAGTATTAATCTGTCCACCTAGGTGAATGAATTTGTCTTTAAAGGTTCACAACTGATGATGATATACGCTGCACTAAAAGTACACACCCACACAGTGGAGTGGATGGGACAGAGCTGATTACTGTTGTGATATTTTTCTTACAATGTCAATGGTTCCTCAGAGATTTTAATCCTGTGATCTGCTTTTAGAGCATCACATTCTCCATCAGATTCCCCTTATCAGCTTCACAGCATCTATGACCCCTTAGAAATGATCTTGCCTACTTGTCTTCCTCTAAGAGTGAATCTTACAGGGTCCTTGTCAATCTTGTTCACTCATCTGTTTCTGGTGCCTCTAACAATGTCTTTGTATAGTTGAATGAGTCAAAGATATGGTCTTAAAGACTGGTTTTCAGACCCAGGGCTGGTCATGTTAGTCCATCCATTACCCCTTAGGGACACTACCATGAGTAACATCTTATGGGAATATCGTTTATCTTCTTTGTACATTAGTCTTGTATAACCTCTGTCTCTTTTGTAGAGATCTAAGACTTTCTCCTCCAAATAGTTCCAAAATCTTTAATTTGATAGATTACCTATTAACCACAGAAGGGAAACGGTTCTCCTAATTCTTTATAATAGATTTGGAGGTCACCTCTTTACACTAGTGACCATAAATATTTGGACAATTGATTTTATGTTGTTTACTATTTAATACTATGTTTTACCTAGTGGAAAACAACATGAAGAGTACCATGTAACCTATGCAGGATTCTAGCTATCCAATCAAGTCTCTAAACCTTCCTTCCAGCTTATAGGAAGTTCAGGAGCTAAAAGTAAAGTTAAATAACACCGGGAGAAGAAAAACACAAATAGAGAAACCAAAAAGTTAATGCCATGAAAACAAGCAAGGTGGAGGACTGCTGTACATTAAAAGAGACAAACACAACAAATGCAATGCATGACTTTTCCTACCAAACCAATATATAAGACTTGCTTTTGGCAAGTGAGGACATTTGAATGTAGACTGGATATTAAGTAATAATAGATTATTAAGTTTCTTCAACGTGATAATGGTATTGTGATATGCAGAAGAATGTCCTTAGTCTTAGGAAATGCAGGCTGAAGTACATACTGAGAGCAATCATGGTAAACGGTTAACAGTTGTTTAATCTTAGAGACATGTACAGTATGTGGCTGTGAACTGAACTCTGTTTCAACTTTTCATGCAGGGATGTCAGGGCCAAGCTGTTCACAGTCTCCCAGCCAAGTGACCAGAATGGAGAACTGCTTTCAGATGGCCCTATTCCAAGGGCACCTAGAGAGGACTGGAAGTATTGTTTCGGATTAATTTAACCACCTCCATCCACCCAAAGACTAGTAGGACTAGAAGCCATATGGAACACCAGCTCCCGGGCCTAAAAGGCGCTTCACTTCTCACAGTCAGCCCTGGAAGGTGAGGACTCAGAGTGAGGCAGACCATCCTTAAACTGCCCAGAACAATGGAGAGTTTGGGGAGGTGCTTCCCAAGAGCACGCGACTCCTTGGGACTCCCATCCATACACAAGCCATTGAAACCCGACGTGTCTCTCTTACCCACACTTCATTCCCCATCGATTCTAGAAGAAGAATGGGCATTTCTTCTGAGACAGCAAACAGCTCCTCTTAAGGTTTCTTCTTTCCTAATTAGCTCTGTATGGAGTTTAACAAGAAAATCCATCCGGGGCCGCCTCGAGGCCATGCACCCAGGAGCTTGGAGAGACTACCAGGGAAAAAGAAAGGATCTTAAACAGCCTAGCCCGACGTCTGCCACTAAGTTGTCTAATCTTGGCAAGCATCAATTAAAAGCATACCTAACACGGCCGTGCTCGGAATGCAAGGTGACCCCGAGGACCCCAAGAGCGCGCCAAGCGACCGTGCAGGGCTGAGGGCCCAGGACTCCCGGCCGCGGCCCAGGCGCGTGGTCTGCGCGCGCTCGGCCGTGCGTGCGCCTGCGGGGAGGCTGCGTGTGTGCGCAGGGCGGGAGCGCCGGTCGCCTTCTCGTTTCCGAGCTGGGTGCGCGCTGTGCGCAGGAGGTGAGTGAGAAGGGCGGCCGTCCAGAGGCTCTGAGGTGGCTGAGACCTGCGGCTGGGTGGCGGGCGTGACCACCGGGCCCGCTTTTCCCAAAACGCGCCATCCTCGGGAACGCCGAGACCTAGACGGCGAGGCCGGGAGGCACCGCCCACTCCTCCGGTCCTTCCCGGAGCACGGCCCAGATTCAGGCGCCGCGCCCTGGGGCGCGGGCCTCGGTGACGAGCAGCTCCCAGGTTCTAGTGAGCGCGGGGGAAGGGGCCCAGCGGGGCAGTGGGCGACGCGGAGGAGCGCGGGGGCGCGCTGAGGGCCCAGGCCTCGGCTGCTGCCGCACGTTGTCCACCTTGCCTTTCCCCAGGGCGCAATTCCTGCCTTGGGTTGCCCGCGCCCGTCCAGCCACGGTCAAATCCGGTAGCTACCCGGGGCGTTTGCAGCGGTGCCGAGGAAGAGGACGGGAACGGTGTTACGGTATTGTTGGATCCCTACCAGGCCCGAAGCGAAAGCTTTCCCGGAACGCTGGGGAAGGGCCCCGGCGCAGGGCTGTGAGAGGGATTGGGAAGGAATGTGAAACGGGGGGGGGATGAAGAGAATGGGCATGGGCGGAGAGAGAAGGAAACCCCGCGGGGCTAGGGCTACAGGATTCCCACCGGGGTGTTAAGGAGCATTCAAGGCATTTTAAAAGGAATCTTAAAGATGCAATGGAGTCTCACTTTTCCCAGCAGGAAGGAATGATGCTAGCCGCAAGCACGGGAAGTCATTGAATTAAGTATTCGTTCACCTTCTTACTGTTGGATTTAGGAGGGAGATTTGCAGGGCTGTCGTGATTTTGTGTCCTTTGCATTTTGCACAGAGTGCCTGCGTTTGGGAGGTGGCTGCTTTGTCGGAAAAACTACCATCAAGGAAGGAATTGCCAAATCATGTGTTTTTTTCTGTTTTCAGAGGTAAGGAAAATTTGGGTTTACAAGTTTCAACTGGGAACAAATTTTCTTTTTTACCTTCCCCCAAGAGGTTTAACCGAAAAAAGGGCGCTGAATTTGTGCTCTCAGCATGTGTCGCTGCCTGATAAAACACAAATTACCGAACGTGTGGCAGTCTGGAGAAGAGAATTGTGTATTACTAAGAGATAAGAGTCTATGACATATTTTTCCCCTCGTAAACTAACATATTCATGCAAATGAATGGCCGTTGGCTAACTCCAGACCTGAAAATAAACTGTTGGCAAAACTGTCCGAGCGGGGCGGCGGCTCACGCCTGTAATCCCTGCACTTTGGGAGGCCGAGGTGGATGTATCGCCTGAGATCCGGAGATCAGCCTGGCTAACCATGGTGAAACCCCGTCTCTACTAAATGTACAAAATTAGCTGGGCGTGGTGGTGCGCGCCGGTAATCCCAGCTACTCTGGAGGCTGAGGCAGAGGTTGCAGTGAGCTGAGATTGTGCCATTGCACTCCAGCCTGGGCAACAGAGGGAGACTAGAGTGAGAGTCCGTTGCAAAAAAAAAAAAAAAAAAAAAAAAAAAAAAAAAGTTCATATATAATTTCAGATTAGAGCATGAGGTGATATGAAAGTGAAAAGAGAGGTGGCCGGGCTCGGTGGCTCACGCCTGTAATCGCAGCACTTTGGGAGGCCGAGGCGGGTTGGATCTCAAGGTCAAGAGATCGAGACCATCCTCGTCAACATGGTGAAACCCCGTCTCTCCTAAAAATACAAAAAATTAGCCGGGCATGGTGGCACATGCCTGTAATCCCAGCTACTTGGGTGGCTGAGGCAGGAGAATCGCTTGAACCCAGGAGGCGGAGGTTGCGGTGAGCCAAGATTGCGCCATTGCCCTCCAGCCTGGGCAACAAGAGCGAAACTCCGTCTCAAAAAAAAAAAAAATGTGAAAAGAGAGGATCAAGGCTTTTCTAAAAATGAAAAGGTGTTGATACATAATAAATTGCTCCAAAACCAACTTGCTATGTATAGAACACTGATTTCAGAAGTCATAGTTCCCAGTATTAAGTTATGACTCATATATATTCTTTTTCTGTTCTGTTCAGTAGTTCACAGCAGATCTGAGTGTTTTAATTAAAACATGGAATACAGAAAACAACAGAAAACTTAAAGCATTAATTTCATCTGGAATTTCACAGGTAAGTTCATCATACTTTTAACTTATAAATTATCCTAATTGATTAAAATGCCCATAATAGTGCCCTTTACAAGGTTTTAAGTATTGTTGACTCAGCCACGAAGTTTGTTGTATATTCTAGTATGATTCTTTCATCAGAGGATTTGAAGAAGTTCAAGAGTGAAGCTCTACTAAGGCATTTGAGATTATATATATTTTCTTTTTTCTTGTTTAAAAAATAGAGACAAGGTCTCTTTATGTTGCCCAGGTTGGACTGGAACCCCTGGGCTCAAGTGATCCGCCTACCTCAGCCTTCAGAGTAGTCAGGACTTCAGGTGTGTGCCACCTCACCTGGCTCTTATAATATATATTTTCTAAAAAATTGAATTATTAAAATACCATGGTTCTTCAGGAAAACCCAATAACTGTAAAAACTTAATTTGGTGAGTCATATTCAAGTTCTGACTCAGCTCCCTTTATGCCTAAGAAAATGCTCCATTGAATACTTTCCTCTTTCCCGTTTGGATGAATGATTTATCTTCTTCTTTTGTCCAGACTCCAGCTTTGTTCCGTCCACCAATGGATGATGCAGGTAGAACTCTGTTTTAGGAAATGCCTTTGTCCCTTTCACAACTGTGTCGTGTCCAGACCAAATAAGCCTTTACAGAGATGGACCATTGTTGCTCACTGTGGGGTAGCCTCCCACTGCGTGGGTAGCCACATGGATAGGGTCAAGCATATGGGGTCGCACAGGATACTTTTACTGCCCTTGCACAACAGATGCACTCAAAAGTTACAGTTCATTTAACAGCAGGCTCTTTGGCAAACATCCCTCTTAGGACTACGAACAATGGTTTTATATGAATAAAAAATTGTATATTATAAATATTGATTTGATTTTGTTCCCAGGCCTTTTGGCATATCATGCATTAGAGGCCAGGGGAAGATGAGAGGATCAGCTAGAAATATGGCAATTTGTAGGGGGCACATCAGCATGGGAAAGGAAGTTGAAGCCATGGAACATCCCTAGTGTGGGGCCCCAAATGTCTAAAGGTTGGAAGATTTGGCTGGAGTGATAACCTGTGCTCCTTGAGGCTCTGAGACGTTAAGGAACTAAAAGAAAGCTAGAATAGATGGCTTCTATTTCTCTGTCTCCTATTTGGAACTATATTTAGCTATTATTTTGTTTCCAGACTTTGTTTTCAATAATGGAGTTACCACTTTATGCAGAAGCAGAATGGAGTAGCTGAGACAGAGACCCCAGAGCCCACAAAGAAAATATTTGTTATCTGCCTTTTATGGGGAAAAAAAAGTTTGCCCACTTCTGGGATAGAACATGGATTTCTGCTAAACTCTCAAGCTGTGCATTTTGAACAGGCTCATAAAAGTTAGAATAAAGAGGTCCTGCTCCTGTTAAAACATTTCACAAGCCTATAGCCACCATTCCTGCAGGATGACAGTGAGGGCTAAAACCATGTCTCATATCTGGAACTACATTTGGCTGTTCTGGTTACAGACTTTGTTGTTGAGAATGGAGTTACCCACTTTCTAAGATAAAACTTACCATCAACTTTCATCTCTAAGTATTAAATAATTTCTTTCTCTATACCGATACAGATTCTATAATTTATGCCTTTATTGGGCACTAACATTCTGAGAGTGCAAACTCACCTCCCTGCCATGGACTGTGGTCACTAATTTAGAAACATTTTGAGCTGGGAAGCCTCCCCCATGTTCTCCAGGTGGGCCTCACTCAAGATGTTTAGTCTGAAATGTGTAGTTGTGAGCCTTCCGCCGTGCTGTGCATTGAGTGTCACCAACTTGAGGACAGGGCTTGCCTGTCTGCTTCCCCATTGCTGCCCCAACCTCTAACACGGGTTCAGAATATCAAATGAATGAATGAAATACCCTCAGATGACAAAGGTAGTGGTAATTGATGGATTGTTGTAACTAACAAGAATAGTAAAGATCTGTAATATTCCCAATTTAGGGTAGTAATGGGAAGAAATGTTAACTAGAGCAGCTCCCCGATGCCCTTCCTCCAGTGGATAAAGCAGTGTGTAACAAAACAGACGCAGAAAGCCCAGCTTTCAGGGCAGCCTTGCTGCTGTTCTGTCTGACTTGTGTGATCTTCGCTCTGCTCCAGTTTTCCTAGCTCCCTGGACCTAGTTGACCTGTTGGCTGCTCTGTCCCGTGGTGCTCTCCGACTACCCATCCTGAGTGTAGAAGTGCGTCTACTGCAGCTGCATTCTTTGCTCCCTGCCCAAGAATCTCGGGAGGCTGCGGGATTAGTTGTGAGGTTGGTCTCTTGGGGCACTGTGCCCTGGTGGGAGCTTGGCATTTGGAGTTCAAGGGCTCGAGTTTGGGTTCCAAGTCTTCCTCTACCTGGGCTGCACTGTTCCTGGAAAATGGGATTGATGTTAACACACATTTTACAATGTCATGAAATGTGCTTTGTAAATTGTAGTTAGAAGCACTGTAAACTTGTATAGTACTCAGAACTCTACTTCAGCCATCTTTAAAAAGAAAAAAAAAAAGGCCCTGCCAAAAATCCCAACATGTATTGCAAATTATTAAGATTGATTTTGTGTGTTTTTATTGGAATGTGCAGATAGGGCAGAAGCAAAAAGAAGATTGCAGCTAAATTTTCCTTCTGAAGTCCTGCTGCTTTTGTTTGCTCCTCATTTTTCTCATTACCAAACCCAGAAATCCATAAAAGATTCTGCGTGCCGCAACCCAGAAATCTGAGATTCCCATATACAGGGATTGTTTTACCTATAGGAAAGTAGTTTGTTTTCAAACGTTATATATGTCTTATTTACCTGTATGTTTAAAACTCAGGTGTCTTCTACCTCAGCACATCGAAACAGCAGACTTCCATTTTAATGAAGCTTTAATGAAAGACATTTTCCCATACATCTTAGAAGATACCTGAGGATGGTGGTTCTGCATCCAGCAGGGTTTCAAGGGAAGGATTGGGAAATGGTAATGCAGTATAGGTATTTATACTCACTGTCTACACTGTCTACCTAAAACTGTGTGACAGCCACAGAGTAGTGCCTCATGTGGGCTTTTTTCTTAAACTCAGTAAATACTTCAAATTCATTCCTAGAAATTGAACAATTTAAAATATTTATGCCAAAATGAAACCTTTTCTATGAACTATATTTTAAACATCGATAACAGAGTTGTGGAACCTTGTCATTAAAAGGGACCTTAGAAGTTTCTTAGAATAACTTAAAATGCAGTGACAAATCAACCTTTATAACATACCTGACAGCCACTGAAGATTTTCATTGGTGAGGAGCAGCCCATTCTAGTAATCTGTATTGAACTCTCCCACTAATTTTTTTAAATCTTTGGGTCATTTGCCTTCTGGAGTGATACATATTGTTCAAAATAATTTGAAAGTATCTACCAGGGCCCTTCTGAGCTTTTATTGTCTCCAGAACAGAGCATCCCCAGTTCCTTCAACCACATGTCACACAGTCCTCATGGGAGATGATAAACACTTCACCAAATGAGGTTCCCTCTTCTGAATTTAATGTGTTAATGACCCTTTGATCCTTTTGAAATGGAACACATATGTAGCTATGGAACTATGACCCCTTTTGCCCAGACGCTTTTTCTGTTTCTTGAACCTAGGAGTATATTAGGGTGTGTGTGTGTGAGAGAGAGAGAGAAGGACACAATCTATTATTAACTTGTAGAGTTTCTGTTAGCACTGCCATTCAATCACAAGTACTTGGGAGTGCCTCCTATGTGGTAGGCACTATGCTAGGTGCTGGGGACAGAGTGGTGTGCAAGAATGAACGTCATCTCTATGCTGATAGAGCTGCATGGAGCCTGAGAGGTATCCTAGCCCAGTACCTTAAAGTTCTGTTAAGAAATAACTCCTCAAATTCAATGACTTGCCTTCCTGCCAGAACTAGAATCCTTTGTTCCCTGACTACCCAGTTATTCCATTACATCACCACCTTTTATCATATTGGACTCATACTTAGCTAAACCATAAGGTCTGTTTAGGCTGCTGTTAAAATGGTCCCCCATCCTGCTCTTGTGCAGTTGGTTTTTTGAGCTCTGACATAGGACAATAAATGTGTTTCTGTCAAATTGCATCTTGCTATCTTTGGCCTTTTCTCACCTGTTAAAAGCTTTTGGATTATAATTACATCTTTTAATGAATTTGTCATTTTTTCCTGTTTTTTTTTTCTTGCCTACAAAATTGAATAAGGCTACATTCCTTTGTCTTTAATTAGAAATATTAAATGAGAAAAGGCTAAAGATAGGCCTATGATTTCTTTTTTTCCTAGTTTGACAAAGATGTTCCAGTCAACCTTAGAATATCAGCAGGAGGGCAGGTCTCTGGCACTTTTGGTAACACTATTCTCAGAGCCCAGCAGAAGCCCAAGAAATGTGTCTTGAACAAATTACTGTATAAAAAATACACTGGCTATGATGGATCAGCTAATTTTGAAGCCATCTAGCCACTATCATTACTCACATTTTCCCATTTTGTTTAGAGGGACTGTAAGTGCCCAGCTCTCTTTACAGAGAAGCCTGATTCTTAGGTGTTGTCTAGGAGTTACCTTGGTCCTCTGTTGAAGAACTCTGTTGAAAATGGGGCTGAGGTTAGTCAAACACAGCATTCTGTGAATCTTCTAGCTCCTGACGGTTGTTGCATTTGTGTCTTAAGTATTCACTAATGTTTACGGAGTCTCAGCAACTTCTTCAGAGTTATTTGGAATGCAGATTCATTAAGATCAGTCTCTTCAGCAACTTCTCCATTACCAAAAAGTGAACTTGTTGGGGAAGACTTGTTGAAAACTGGGTGAGGATTTAGAAGAGCTGAGCATGATTTGCATGGAGATTGAACTAGACTTCCCTTTTTTAAAGTTTCTGGTTTAGCCACCTGGGTAGCTGGGATTGCAGGCCTGCACTAGTACTCGGGGCTAATTTTTGTATTTTTAGTAGAGATGGGGTTTCACGATGTTGGCCAGGCTGGTCTTGAACTCCTGGTCA